TCCAGCAACTGCCACCCTTGCTGTCGAAGGCCTGGGGGAGTAAACAGGCGAAGAGGGAGGATTACACCGTACCCAGTCCAACCCCACGTGCTGGACTGATGACCCCAAAAGACTGAATCTCCTGCCTGCTGAGTGAAGAGGCAGCGGTCTAACATCAGAGCCACTGCAGAGCCGGGGGCAGCCCCGGTTTGGCTGGGATTCGGAGCACAGATTCTGCCCCGTTGGGTGGAGGGGAGCAGGGATTACAGCCTCTCACAAACCTCCTCAGCCCAGTAAACCACGCTGATTTGGCCTTCTGCTGACATTGCCAACAAGTGTCCTACTTTGTAAACCACGTGCCAGCACCGACAGCAGTGCTCTGAGTCGCGCACTCACAGCAGAGAGCTGAAAAACTTCCATGCAGCTTATTTCAGCACCTCCCACCTTGAAGAGATGACCGAAGTGCTTTTAAAACACCACAACGGTAGGAATGTTATCCCTTTACCACACCAAATTATTTGGGATACACAATGAGTTTCCACGATATTTATGCAGAGCACGGCACAGTCCTGTGTACGACTATATGAACTAATTAATTCTTTTCTTCATTTAAAAGCCTCATGATTTTTTTAAGGCAATCCCATGATGCGTGGGGGCCTGGGTTGTCAGCTTGGAGTGCTAAAATGAATTCAACCCCTGTCTCACGCTTAGAAAACACAAGGATCTTTTAATTAGGAAATTTGGGGTTTGTTGTATTTGTCTTCTCACACGTGAAACTTTGGAGTATGCAATAGGCCTCATTTTCTTCCCCCATTAAAGGGGCTGGAAACTCACTGACCCTTTTCAGAAAGAGCCGAGATCCTCGGGCACGAGGTGACTCCAGGAACAGAGGCGTTAACGGAGACCCCAGCGCTGGCCCCCATGCCCCTCTCCAGGCCAGGTGGGCAGCCTGCCTGGTTGCTTTTCCATACGTTTTAAGACACAGACCTTCTCCTGGGGCGGCCACCCCCTTTCCCCGGTGCTCCTGCCCCAGAGGGACCCTCCTGTCCCCCACCCCAGTCCCTGCGTGGCCTCACCCAGGCTTGACCTGCCTTCCTGGCCCGGTTTGCCTCATCCACCCATCCACCTCCCCTCCCCATCGCCCCTCCTCGCCCCCTTCCTCCTCCTCCCAGTCTCC